ACATAGGGGCACATATATCTTTGTGAATAAATGTTTTCAAATTTTTGGGGTAGTTACCCATAAGAGGGGTTGTTGTGTTATATGGTAACTCTATTTTTAATTTTTTGGGGAACCTCTGTATCTGTTTTCCATGGTGGCTGTACCAGTTTACATTCTCACCAGCAGTGAATTGAGGGTTCCTTTTTCTTCACAACCTCTCCAAACCTTGTTGTTATTTGTTTTATTGATAAAAGCCATTCAAACAGGTGTGAGGTAGTATCTCCTTGTAGTTTTGATTTGCATTTCCCTAATAGCTGGTGAAGTTAAGCATTCTTTTCATATATCTGTTGGCTATTTGTATGTCTTCTTGGGAAAAGTGTCTGTTCAGGTCCTCTGCCCATTTTTTGAAAGATTTTATTTATTTTTAGAGAGAGGGGAAGGCAGGGAGAAAGAGAGGGAGAGACACAGTGACATGAGAGAGAAACATCAATTGGTTGCCTCTTGTACGTGCAACGGACTGCAGACCAAACCTGCATCCCCGCATGTGCCCTGATTGAGAATTGAACCGGCGACCTTTTGCTCTGCAGGACAATGCCCAACCAACTGAGCCACACCAGTCAGGGTTCCTGTGCCCATTTTTTAGTTGGATTGTTTGTTTGGTGTTGACTTGCATGTGTTTTTTTATATATTTTGGGTATTAGCAAAATATGTTTGCAAATATTTTCTCCTGTTTAGAGTTTGTTTGTTTGTTTCTTTCTTTCTTTTAGTCCCACTAAGACATTCTTCTGTATCTATTTCTTCTTTCTTTCTTCCAATAGGACATTTGTTTAGGATGAGAGCTCCCTTCAAAACCCTTTTAGATGTGGAAGGACAGATCTTCAAAGATATACCTATTTCAATTGTGACTGCATACCAGTAAGTCTTTTTATGGCTTAACCATGGACACAAGAGCTGTCTCCAAAGAGCATGTAGGAGATGCACCCTTCTCAAGAAGCAGAGCCACTCCAAAGATAGCCTAAGAAAGCAAAGACCTCCTTGTCACAGGTAGTAAAGAAATTTCTATCTCTCACAAACTGAGACACCTTAAATCATAAGCCCATTAATGTGTGTCCTGGAAAGGTGATATCGAGATGGGAATTCTTCCAGCACAAACAAGGCAACAAAAGTAGAGATGACAATGGCTCCTTATATACTGGGACTCTTTATTAAGACAAATGCCCCTGAAAGCTGGCACGGTTGGACAAAGAGAATGGTGCTTGTCACATGTCTTAGGCTCCTAGCCAGCTGTCTAGCTGCTCTATGGAAGCCCGACAATCTAAGCTCCTCCCCTACCCCCAAGTGGCAGAAATCAGAGAATATCCTCGCTGGTTACAAAACCAGGTTTTTGATACATAAAATAAGACAAATGGAGATGCTCCTCTTATGATTTTTATCCTTATGAAAAATGACAAAAGAGACTGAGTCAAAAGAAAGCACAACTATTTCTGGCAGGCTAAGAATCAATAACCTATGGGTACACAAAACCAAATTTACAAGAGTCACAACTCAAGATCTACTTTTACAAATGTTGTTCTCTTGCCATTATAAATCTGGAAAGGAAGGAACAATGAGAAATTTTTATCCTCCTCTCTTGACTAGTCAGACATGGGACACTGACATGGTAAGAATCCCTACTTTCTGCTATCTGCTGTCAGTTACCACATATCTCAACTGTAGTCTCTAGAGACATGGAGTATCATAGTCTTTTACTGTCCCATCCTCAACACCTTCTGTATGTAGACATACAGAGGGAAAGGAATCTCTTCCCTTTTACTCTTTTAGGGTTTCAGCTGGGTCTCTGTAGCAAAAGACAGATTAACAACAGAAAACAAACATGTTTATTTTATTTTCATTTTTTAATTACATTTTATTGATTATGCTATTACATATGTCCTGATTTTTTCCCCCTTTCCCCACCTCTACCCAGTACGTCCCACTCCCTCAGGCAATCCTCACATGATTGTTCATGTCCATGGGTCATGCATGTAAGTTCTCTGGCCACTCCATGTCCTACACTGTACTTTACATCCCCATGGCTATCCTGTAACTACCTATTTGTACTTCTTAATCCCCTCACCTCTTCACCCATTCTCTCTCTTCCGCCTCCCATCTGGCAACCATCTGGTAACTACTTTTTCTGCTTTTATGAGTCTCTCTTTATCTTTAACCTTTGATCTTTTAATGATGATATGCCTTGGAGTGGGCCTCTTTGCATCCATCATAATTGGGACTCTCTGTGCTTCCTGGACTTGCATGTCTAGTTCCTTCACCAAATTAGGGAACTTTTCTTTCATTATTTTTTCAAATAGATTTCCAATTTCTTGCTCTTCCTCTCCTCCCTCTGGCACCCCTACGATACGAATGTTGAAACCCTTGGAGTTGTCCCAGACTCTATTTATGCTATCTTCATTTTTCTGGATTCTTTTTTCTTCTTGTTCTGCATGGTTGTTTTTTGCTTCCTCATGTTCCAAATCATTGGCTTGATTCTTAGCTTTATCCACTCTACTGTTGTTTCCCTGGAAATTCATCTTTATTTCAGTTAGTGTATCCTTCATTTCTGACTGAATCTTTTTTACGCTGCTGAGGTCCTCACTAGGTTCCTTGAGCATCCTTATAACCAGTGTTTTGAACTCTGCATCTGGTAGATTGCTTATCTCCATTTCTTTTAGCTCTTTTTCTGGAGTTTTGATCTGTTCTTTCATTTGGGCCATGTTTCTCTGTCTCCTCATTTTGCCAGCCTCCCTATGTTTGTTTCTGTGTATAAGGTAGAGCTGTTTTGACTCTGTTCTGGTAGTGTGACCTAATGTAGTAGGTGTCCTGTAGGGTCCAGTGGCCCAGCCTCCCCTATCACCTAAGTTCAAGGTGCACCGTTTGTTTGAGCTAAGTACGCCCTCCTCTTGTAGTTGAGCCTTGGTTGCTGTTGGTGGGTCAATGGGAGGTGTTTACCCAGGCCAGTCAGCTGCAAGAACTGGCTGTGACCACCAACCTCCACAGTCTGCGGAGAATCAGCTGTGCAGGGGCAGGGTAGTGCTGCGCTGCCGTGGTCTGTAGCTGTCCACTGGGTGTGCTGGCCCTGGGGTTTCCCAGGTGGTGCAGGCCAGGGTCAGCCCTGACCTGTGTTCTACTTGGGGCACCCTGCCTGAGCTACAAAGTAATGAGATGGCTGCTACTTATGCTGGGCTTGGAGATTTCCAGGAGAAGCCACATTGGGAATCTAATCTGGCTGCACTAGGGCTCACTGAAGCCAGCTGTTGCTTATTTGATGGGATTTAGGAGCCAAGACCAGCCATTTTATGGAAAAGCAGCTTGGGTGTACCCGTAAGTTGGGTAGGGAAGAGCCTTTGGGGATCTCCAAGACGAGTCAAACAGTGTTAGTCAGGTTGTTGGAGTCTCAAATATGGCATCAGCTTACTGGCTCTGTAGAGGGAGGGTTTAGCAGAGAGACAATGGTCTCTGCTCACCTTGGTGCCAGACACTTTAGTTTCTCCCTGTATACCACTGGTGCTTTTTAAGTTGCTACCCTGGTGCTGGAGCTCAGAGGGAGTGAGTCTGAGTAGGTGACTACATGTGTGGGTTTTTTAAGAGGAACTGCTTGGGGCTCCAGCAGCTTCTTCCCCCAATTCAATTCAATCCCTGCTGCTTTTTGCAGCCAGAAGTTGTGGTGACTTACCTTCCTGGCACTGGAATCCTGGGCTGGGGCGGGGGGCCTGGTGTGGAACTGGGACTTCTTGCTCCCAAGATATCCCTCCTGAATTTTTATCCACGTGGGTGCGGGGCCAGCTTGTTCTGCATCTGCACCCCTCCTAGCAGTCCGGATGGACATGGTTTTTTTGAATTGTAGTTGTCAGACTTCCATTCAGCTCAATTTCTGATGTTCCTGAGTGACAGTTGTTCTATATTTTAGTTGTAATTTTAATGTGGTTGTGCGAAGAGGTGAGACATGTCTGCCTACGCCTCCATCTTGACTGGAAGTCCACAAACATGTCTATTAACATGCACATCTCCTATATACTCAAAGATGTGGCTAGAACTTGGGCTTACATAGTACCTTGACCAAGAACAACACATTTTAGAGAGATGACAAGACAGGGGAAATGAATCTTAGATTTCAAAGTGCAGCAAACTATGGGTGCTAAATGTATGTGGGACTAATGGAAGATAGTAGCTAGTCAGTAAAGTTTGTTATGTAGCACGATTGGTACTGCCTTGAGGTTGATAAGCATCTAGAATTGTAGGTGATTAACTTCTGTACAGATTTATGATCTGCTTTCAGGCAAATAGTACAGAGAGCTTTTGATGGATATGCTTCTCAGTTGCCTTTAGCTCAGCATAATCCTTATGGCAAAGGGGCATATTTTGCTGTTCTGTAGGTTTTATTATAAAGTTCCCTTACATTATGATGACCCATGTGTTCTAACAAGAAAATCTGAGGTAAGTCATTGTTGAAAAGGAGTTAGGAATGGTGTTCTCATGAGGCTTATTTATAAACAAGTTACAGCAGAAACCTGTTATTTATAAACAAAAAAAGTTACAGTAGAAACCTGGCTGAGCAACATGGTATTGTGCTATATACCTGTCAAAACGACAATGTGTCATGTTCTTTTGTGCAAAGAATATATAAAATAATTTTAATGAAAAAGATGAGACAACATAGTGAATACATACAAAACAATTTAATGAAATGAATGTTAATCAAGGATCAGAGCTCATTTTCAGTTGTGTAAAGTATTCATTTGCTTTTCTTTTCTTTATAGTCACTTAGATTATAATAGGAGGAAGTTCATGTTTTGGAAACAATGTTAGTATCAACTCTTTCTGAGCCAGGTCTTTAAACAATCTCATTTCATCATTTTCCTGTAGTTTAATTCTTTTAACCTTTTAAACTCATTGAACCAAAAAGTAATTCCTGTTTTCCACATATCTCAGAGGGTGGAGCCTCCAAACCACTAGGAAAAGAAGGAAGTTATGAGACTTTAAATTCTGGGGCCAGTCTACCCTGGCCAGGCTAGAGGTCTAGCTTTCCAGTCAACATGAAGGCTCTCCTTATTCTGGGGCTTGTCCTCCTTTCTGTCACCGTCCAGGGCAAGGTCTTTGAAAGGTGTGAGCTGGCCAGAACTCTAAAACGACTTGGAATGGATGGCTACCGGGGAATCAGCCTGGCCAACTGTAAGTTAATTTTTCTTCAGACTTCCAAATAGTCAGCCAGGTGTGGGACAGGTTCTAAGAGAGGATGAAGAACAAAAAAGGTGCTTTGAGTGAATGGACTTTTTAAAAAATTTTTCTTTCAGGATTTGTATACTTAAAATGGTTAAAAACATCAACTTGTTCCTTTAGAATCAGATACACTGCTGTGGGAATGAGGGCATGGGGAGGGCAAAATTCTTTGCTGTTCTAAATTGTACCCTTTGAGTGCCACTAAATTTGCCAGTTGCTTCAGACTCAGTGGCACATGGAGGCTGACTTATACATTTGAGCACCTGAGAAATCTCTGTCAAGTTTTTGGTACTTGACTCCAGCCATTTTCTGTGTGGAACTTAGGTTCTGTCAGCCTGGATTAATGCAGTATTTTTCTCCTTTTTAATTCCCCTGCATGACGTGGGGTTTTTAATAGCAAAATTAAAAAAAAATTATGTTGAACTCTCAACACAGAGGGAATGGGAACCTATTTCCCTTCAGTCACTGTTTATCTAAGGATCCCTGAAATGCAGCATGAAATGACATTTTATTATTCTTACTCACTCTGGTTGATTAACTGTTTTCATTTTCTTTCATGCAACCCAAGATGAACCTGTGTAAAAGTTACTTTATATTTTAGTCCATATTTGACAATGTAATCACTGTATTTTTAGGTTGAATTCAAATATTTCCCCTTAATAACTATTTTTGAATGAATGAGTGAATAGTCTGATGGATAGATGGATGGATGGACTGATGAAATAGTCTTTCCTGTTCTACATTTTTATACTAATAAAATCAGTCATTAGTTAAAAAAAAAAAAGCCGTGTAGAACTGATTATGGTATGCAGTATGTCATGTGATGTTGCTATTTGTTACTAAAAGTAAGTTCTTTTCAGGGATGTGTTTGTCCAGATGGGAAAGTAGCTACAACACTCAAGCTAAAAACTATAATCCTGGAAGCAAAAGCACTGACTATGGAATATTTCAGATCAATAGCCGCTACTGGTGTAATGATGGCAAAACCCCAGGAGCAGTTAACGGCTGTGGTATATCCTGCAGTGGTAAGACAAAGTCACACATGAGTCATGACACAGGACCCAGCAGGTCATACTTAACAAGAGTAGAGATTCAATAGAAATGAAAAGGTCTTGAAAAGTTTATCAGAGACCTAGGAAAACGTCACCTCAACTTCTAGAAACTCTTTATTACCCTCTTCATACTTTCCTAAGTAAGAAATTGAGGAGCTGGTATCATAAAAGTTTGCTGTTTTCTAATACACAAAAGTTCTGGAATGACCCACACTTATTTGGGGAGGTTTAGGGATAACATGCTTGTGTGGTCCTTTTTTAAAAAATTGGTTTTACTTTTTAAATATGAAATGTTCTAAGTGTATAGAAAATTAGAGACATTAGTCTAATAAGCAGTCACATGCCCATCACATAATTTAACAGTTGTCAACATTTTGTCATATTTATTTATGTATACATATGTACATACCTTTTTGCTGAATGATTTGAAAGTAAATTAGAAACATTATGATAATTCATTCCTAAATTCTTTAGTTTGCATCTCCAAAAAAAGTACAGTGCCTATATAATTATTGTCATATCTAACAATTTAATGAATTAATTTGTTTAATTGGGGTGAAACAAATGTTCTATTAAACTCATAAAAATAGAAATAATCTGTGGAATCTTTAACTCATAAAATATTGGAGAAGTATTGTAAAATTGATATTATTAAATTTCTAAAAGTTAAAATTTCTCATAGAGGTTATTCTTAGAATATTCTTTGAAACCAGTTAATTTATTTGAAAATATTTTGTATTATATAATAGCCTGTGATCACTGAATAAAAATTCTTTAAAAAAAAGATTTTATTTATTTATTTTTAGAGAGGGAAAGGGAGGGAGAAAGAGAGGGAGAGAAACATCAGTGTGTGGTTGCATCTTGTGTACCCCCAACTGGGGATTTGGCCTGCAACCCAGGCATGTACCCTACACTGGGAATCGAACTGGCAACAGGCTGGCCCTCAATCTACTGAGTCACACCAGCTAGGGCTGAATAAAAATTCTTACAGTCAGGAGATTTATGACCACTGGTAACTTCCAGAAGAATATATATCAATCATGTATATGAATGCAAAGCTTTATCACATACATATATACCCACAAACATGCAAACAATGTGTGTTTTAACAAAAATGAATGGTACTATATACACTGTTTTATAATTTGCTCTTTCATACAAAATTATTTCTATGTTAACAAGTACCAACTGTATTTTTTTAAAGGATGAATAGAATTCCACTGTATAAATGTTCTCTAATTTATTGATCCAACTCACTGTTAAGCACTTAGGCTGTTTCCATTTTCTGCTCTTTTTTTTAAACATTTTATTCATTTATTTTTTAGAGAGGGGGAAGGAGAAAGGGAGGGAAAGAAACATCAACGTGTGGTTGCCTCACACGCGCCCCCTACTGGGGACCTGGCTCACAACCCAGCCATGTGCCTTGACTTGGGAATAGAATCAGCAACACTCTAGTTCACAAACTGGCCCTCAGTCCGCTGAGCCACACCAGCCAGGGCCATTTTCTGCTTTTATTAATTACAATGAAGCAAACACCTTGTGCACACATCTTTGGGTGCATTTCTTCAGGGGAAATTTCTAGTAGAATTGCTCATTAAAAAATAGGTCGGTCCCTCTTTTTTATTTTATTTTTTACAGTGCCTATTACAAAGAAAAACATCACGTTAGTTAATAACTCCAGGCTTCCAATGACTTTGGTAAATGAGAAACAGAATGCTTTAGGTCATGCCAAAAGGGAGGGAATGAAGAAAATGTTTTACCCCACCATTCACGGGTACATGGACTCATGAAAAATAATTGTAGTGTCCATTCTTCAGCCTAAGAGGATAAAACTGCCTAAACCTACACCTAAAATGAAATTTCTGTGAAAGTTGTTTTCATTCCTTACCACCTCTTTTTCAGCTTTGCTGCAAGATGACATCACTCAAGCTGTCCAATGTGCAAAGAGGGTTGTCAGAGACCCACAAGGCATCAGAGCATGGTATGTTTTAAGCGTTAAAGGAGAGAACGTTATTTTACCCCACTGTTATGAGAGAAGTGAGAGATTTTCAAAGACCACAGTACACTACTGCACAGCAAAGACAGTATACTACTGAGAAGAGAAAGTTGCAGCTTTAGACTTAATGCTAAACAATGTATCACTTAGCAGCAACCTACTTTAGTTGATTCAGCTTCTTTTTCTTTTACTCCTCAATTAATTTTAGGGGATTTCTAGAATTTTTAAGATTCTCCCCATTCTACCAGTTCCTTGTGATATTTTGAAATTTTTTGGAATGAAGTAAATATGGAATGCATTTGGCAGTTGCTGTCCAAGAATGTGCATGACTCTCATGTTCGGCATTCTACGCTTTAGCGAGGACTTTGGGGAGGAGGGAGCTTTTTGGTGTACATGGCTCCATTTAATAAATAGCAATACCTAAATCTATCAATAGCCTGTATTTTATATATCGATCAAATATTTTGTTCTCTCAAAGCATGTGGCGTATGTATATGACAATGAAGATAGGCTTTAACCTTCTCACCGTTTGTTTCACCTTTCCTTACAGGGTGGCATGGAGGAACCGTTGTCAGAACCGAGATCTCACCCAGTACATTCAGGGTTGTGGAGTGTAACTGGAATTGTCCTTCTCCGGCTCATTTTGCCTCTTTTTCATGTAAAGGGAGAGTATACTGTTGAGCAAAAGTTCACATTGCTGTTCTTTCAAAACAGTCACGTTTTCACAGAAGCAGGAGCAAAATCCTTCTTTCTTCTAAGAAGCTAACTTTTTAAAATTGTTTATTATTGGGTAATAAGCCTACAACATTTTTCAGTTTGCTAATAGAACTAATGCTGGTGAAAATTTATCTAAAGTTTTAATTATCAAATACCTCTCCAGTATATTCAGTTCTTAAAGAAATGACCCAGACTTCATTTTGAATGGTACAAGTGTGCCTCAATATTTGATAAATATGTAGCAAATGACTGTCTTAAAACACGCTGATCTTAGGCAAAATCTTGGTTGTATACGCATGTGCTGTCTTCATCTGTTCAGTCACCTCCCAAAACAGCAAAAGATAAATAACCATTCTTTGTTGGGCGATGTACAAGTTACAAAGGAGCAGAGTGCCGAATGGTTGAATATGGTGACAGCCTGAATCAAGAATTTTGTTTTCATAAAGTGTGACCGTTGGTTTAAATGTTTTCTTAGAAATGTTGCGTTTATACCACTTTAAAAATGAACTCACGATTTAAATATCAATCTATTTTAGCCCTTTAAAGTACTCTTTTATGCATCTTGCTGAACGTGAAGAAATATGAAGAAGGATTAAATACGCTGTTACTGTTTCTTAATTTTATTAGCTTAGATTCAAGCATTATGACTAAAACTGGAGGCAGATGAGTTTGCAAGCATTAAAATAATTGCTAATTAACCACCAGTGGGAAATTATGTTATAAAAAAAGTATCAATAAAGTCTTTGCAACTCATACCTAGTCTTTGTTTAGACCCCTCCTTCTCTGAAGAAAAATATATATATTTGAAATAAGTGACTTAGACCCCTTAATATTCCCTTATATCCTCACCTGTACCCAAACAGCTGGATATCGCTGGGAAAAAAATTCAGAAGCAAGCTGACATATTTCACTTGAAATTCATAACCACGCCTGGCTGGTGTGGCTCAGTGGATTGAGTGCCGGCCTGTGAACTAAACTCATAACCTTCAAGTCTGCCGGGCCATCTCAGTCACTTCTCTGTGGTCCTTCTGTGTTGGTGTCCCCACTCTCCAAAATGGCTATTACTATTTTACTTTTCCTTCTCTCTCTTCAAAACGCCAGCGCACATGTCCAGCCACTCACCTTCTACCCATCTCTGCTCTCAGTATTGGACTCACATTGAGACAGGATAATGAGAAGCTAGGAAAATCCTGGGCAAATGGATTAGGGAAATTGAGACAGATCCTGAACCCAATGGCTGGGCAATTTACAGCCAGGTGCCAATGGCCACCTCCCTAGACTCAGTTGCATTTCAGATCCCAGCCCATAAAAGCAGCAAAACCAAGGCAACGGCTAAAGACCCTCCTGAAAGGACACACCTGGAGACCTGATGAATATTCTGCTGAAACCTTCCCCTGAGACCTCCCCTAAGATTCCCAACTGCAAGAAAGAGATAAAAGCCTCAAGACAAAGGGCCCAGGGGTGCCTGCACCATTTCCTCCCCCATCACCTTGTTTCCTCACAGGCATGAGATTCCTAAACTCTAAGGCACTGGGCAGCTGGCAGCTTGTCCCAGGCTGATCCCCTGACCCTGTCCACTCAAAGCCCCCTTTTCTCTGACCTCCCAGAGAGCTCAGGCAGCCCAGCCCAGGCTCTCCTGTTGCTTCCTCTATGCTGAGCCCTTCCTTGTTTCACTGTCCCCAGCTTTAGTAAATGTACCCTCCTAGTCACCTGGACTCACGCTGTGAAATCTTTCCTACACAAAGTCAAGGACCCACACGCTACAGCTGGCCCTAGGCAGACCCGCTCAGGGCCAGGCCCCTGTCTGGTGAGAGAATAGAAGCAATCACATACAAAATTGTCTCTTCCTTGTTGCTATAACAAGTGTCACACTCTTATGGGAGAAATTCCCAGAAACTAGATTCTTCTCACCAATACAGTGAAGAAATAAAGACTGGCGAGTCTATGAGCATGCAAGCAGGGTTTCTTGGTGATTCACTCTCATGGAAGTGAATGGGCGTAGCTAAGGTAGGGTGGGGGTGCTGGAAGGCAGAGGTTCAGGGTGAAGCAAGGTAAGGGAGGCTAAGGTAAGGGCGGCCAATGATCGGGGTGACAAGCACACATGTGGCCAGAGGCAAAGTGGCCTGAGGCCAGATAGCCTGAGGCCTGGTGGCCAGAGAGTCAAGAGTGTCAAGTCCAAGTCCTTTGTTCTGAGAACTTATATAGCTGGCGGGACACGGGGTGAGGGGGTTACATATTGCTTGACGGGTAAAGGTGGTGCTAGGTTTCAGGACTGTTGAGTGAGTACCCAAAGGTATTAATGGGCCTCTTCCTTTAGGCACTAATGGGCGGCCAGGACTTCCAGGCTTTTGGATGAAAGCACAGTTTCAAAGGCTTTCTTTCCCAGATAATGGAAAAGAGACATAGAATTTCAGACTGCTGAATCAGTGGGTGGGACATGTATCCCTCCTCCTCACTGCCTTTGTTTCCCCTCTGGCCACTCATCCTACTAGAACAGCACCTTCCCTTAGGTCCATTCTTCCTTCCTTTCCTGCTGTTACTGGAATAAAAGACTTCAGTTTCTTCCAATGGTCGTGTATCCACAGGCGATCTCCATCGCATCCCTCTGAGTGCTCCAAGGTTAGGCTGAGTGTTTCCCATATCCTGAGTTTCTCCCTCTTTGTAGAATCACCCCTGACATTGTCCAAACTGCCCTAGTAATGTCCATTACAAAGAACTTTCCATTGACCCGACATAACCCTCCAACTCCTACCTCATTCTCTGCTCCCTTTTACAGCAGCCCTCCCTGAGGCAGGAGATAGTCAGGAAGGAGGAAATTCCGGGGTTGCCCCAGGCCTGAGATAAACAGAGATGCTGTTCTAAAACCAGTTGTTCTGCTTTCTGGAAAAGTGCTGAATCATGGTGAATCATGAATGCACCTGTGCAGAAGGTGCTATATGACCCCTGCTCCATTATAATAAATTAGCATTGTGGGACCCCCTTCCCTGGTGGTCAATCAAGGAAAATCATGGGAGACCACGTTCACAGTAGCTTTAAAGTACTATAACCTCTTGTACATGAGCAATAACAGCCCGCCACAACTAGCCTGGAAATATCTGCCCTGTAAGAATAGAAGCCCTCCAGCCCCTGAGGTCAATCTGCTTGGAGTTGGCCTGCTCCCATGTTCTGTGGAGTGTACTATCACTTAGTAAATCTGCTCTCTCTCTGCTATAAATCCTCTGGGTGTTCGGTTCAATTCTGTCTGCAATCACCAGGAACCTGGTTACCGTGCCCACCTGAGACATCTCTGCTCATCAATTCCACATCCTCACCTCCCAGCCTCTTTTCACCCTTTCTTAATCCGGCTGCCGTTCTGACTGCTAAACCGTGACTCCGTGTCTTCTCTTATGACTCATTGGGGCCAATGTCAGTGATCACCGGTTCCCTGTTCATCGGCAAAGTAAACCACTTCATGCTTCTGGAAAACTTTTTCTTCATCAGCTTCTCCTTGTTTATACCCTGCCTCACTGATTGCTCCTGCTCAGTCTGTGGCTGGCTCTTTCTCTGTTGTTTAATTTCTAACTGTGGGAGTGTCCCAGGGCTCAAGCCTCTAACCACGTAACAGACTAATATTTTACTTATTTTTTTATTTGTCTCTTCTTGCTGAAATGTAATTTCCAAAAGAAAACTTTTTTCCACTTTTTAAAGACATTGAAATAATCTCAATCTTTCCTAAAATGTGCAAGCACAGTGTCGAGTCCTTTTATTTATTTTTTGAATAGTTTGAGAGTAAATTATCAACACAGTGTCCAGTGGCCTTGAATCATTCAGTGTGTGATTCCTAAAAATCTCAAAACATCATCCAAATCAGGATCTTAACACTGATACATCGCTACCACCGAATCATCATCAGATCTCATTCAATTTCATCAGTTGTCCCCATAAGGACTTTGTAACAAAAAGATCTAATTCAGAATTATGTGTTGTATTTGGTTGACATGTTCTTTTTTTTTTTTTTAAGTTTTCTTTAACCTGGATCATTTGTTCAGTTTTTTCCTTGACTTTTATGACTTTCACACTTTTGAAGGCTATAGACCAGTTATGTTGTAAAATGTCCTAAGGTTTTCCTGTTCTTCTCTTTACGAGATCAGGTTATGGGTCTTTGGCAAGAATAACACAGAAGTGATGCTGTGCTCTTCTCATTGCATCCTCTCGGGTGGCATGTGGTTTTGAAGGGTTCTCTTACTGATGATGTTCACTCACATCACTTGGTTAAGGTGATATTTGCAAGTTACCTCCACTGTAATGTACTTGTGAAGGGGTTAAGCTACTTTGAGACTGTTCCTTATCAAAATTTCAATTTACATATTATTTATTATATCAGTATGGCCCCATGACTTTCTACTTGACTCAAATTACAATCCATTATTAGCATTTATTTTTATGGTCACAGTGTCCCTGATTTGGCCAGTAGAACCCCTGCAAGCTAGCTCCTGGGTCATTTTGGAATGTCTCCATAATTCTTTGAGCACTTCCTTGTTTTCTGGCACAAGATGTTTCAAGGTTCACCTTGATCTGTTCCTGCTCCAGCCCTGGAATCAACCGTTTCTCTAAAAAGCCCTGATTCCTCAGAGTGGATAATAGTATTTGAAAAAACAAGATCTGGCCACTAGTATTTCATCATCCCCATCAATGGACAGAGCTAGAAGATATCTACGCAACATTTATCTCTATATCTATCTATTTATATTGAATTCACATCAATACCTCCAACTCTGATCCCACACCACAGGATTTTATTCAAATTTTCTCCTTTTTCATGTTGGTAACTCCCTTCTCTGACATAGAAAAACCTGGTTTCCATTGTCCTTAGCAAGCTTAAAATGTATTCTTAGTACATGTATGTATTTGATTAATTTGCCTATTGGTAACCAATCTCCCAACACTACCACAGCATGGAATAGACACTCTCCACTCAGGTTCTAATACCCATCATTGGGCTTTCTCTTCCCCTACATCTAAGCACCGTCTTTGCTATGTTACATCTTAAACATGCTGTGCTGGGCCACTGTCCTGTTAGGAAAGAGGGCAGAAATTGTTTACTTTTGTTTTTGCTCATATTCCGAACTCCTGGAATAGTGCCTGGAACATGATACGTAAGCAGTAAATATCAGTTGATTTAATAAATCTTGTTTTGATTATTTAGTATATCTCCCAATGTTGGGCAATCTAAGATTTTTTTAATTTACCAACTCCACATGAATCCAGTACAACAGCTTCGGGGATTCCTAGGTTCAAGTCCCAAGTCTCTGTGAATGTAGTGCATAGGCCAGCCATGGGAGGGCAGCAGAGAGACCCAACACAGGGCCACCTTATGCTTCAAGATTCTGGGACCTTGCTGGTATGTGAATAAACCCAGAAAGAACATAGGTTTATTCATATCAGGATATCCAGAGGTGTTTGAAGAACGGATCGACATAGTGGACAGAGACTTGAAGAGTAATAAGTCAGATGCAGAGATGGGATGAGTTCAAGAAGCACCAGGATAGCGCAGCAACACAGGCTGACTGAAGAAACAAGCAGAGTTTAGCAAAAGTTGGCTGAAGAGAGAAAGCAATGTTTGCTGGAGATCTTGCTTAGTGTTTTTGAGAAAATATCATTTTTTACCTATACCTATTATTTTAGTAGAATCAAGTTCTCAAAAACAAACTTCTATTTTTATTATGGAGATGGAATAAAAATCAATATCAATGTTTGGTCATTTTTAAAAGGAA